TTGTCTGTTTTAAAAGAGCAACTGTAAAACCACACAAATACAACTGCTCCAAAACCTTCTGAGTCTGACACTCAGGATGAGATGCTTGTGCTTCATGGAATCACAAACTGGTTTGGGCTGGAAGAGACCTTAAAGTTCATCTCATCCCACCCCCTGCTATGGGCAGGGACACCTTCCACTAGCCCAGTTTGCTCTAAGTCCTGTCCAACCTGGTCTGGAACAGTCCCAGGGATGTGGCAGCCACAGCTTCTCTGGGCAACCTATGCCAGTGCCTCAGCACCCTCACAGGGGAGAATTCCTTCCCAATATCCATCTATCCCTGTCCTCTGGCAGTGGGAAGCCATTCCCTGTGTCCTGTCACCTAGTTATGATAGATGCAAAAGAGCTGATCATGAAACCTCTTGGGCCATGATGTGGGGGTGCTCCTGGGGAATGCTGTAGGGATGCTCCTTGGCTCTGAGCAGCCTCACTAACAGCCTTGTGTCCTTGCCAGCTACGTGAGTTCAACATCTGTGGGCGCTGCCAGGTGGCGAGGTACTGCGGCTCGCAGTGCCAGCAGAAGGACTGGCCTGCTCACAAGAAGCACTGTCGGGAGAAGAAACGAACCTTCCAGCAGGAGCTCGGCCCAGAACGATGACCAGGTGGCCCCAGGCCTCTCAGCAGCAGGATTCCTCCCCAAAGGCATTGGACTCTTGCTTTTGCACACTATGACAGACTGCTTATCCAAGCCAGAGGCACTGAAGATAAACCCTGTGATGCTTGAGCAGAATGGCTGACTGGACTCTAAAAGGCAGCTCTGACTGGTGCTGTGGAAAGGGATTGGGTCTGCCCCTTCCAGTATTATATTCTCAAGCAAAAAGACTACTGTGGAGGCTCCAGGCAGGAAGCTTCTCATTATTTATATGTTAATACGTTTGTAAACTTCATGTACAGTTTTTGTTAGAATTTCTTGATAGGACTTCATTAACTGTAATGTTCAGATGAGAACATGTTGTTGGCCTCAAAGTTGAAAAAAAAAAAGAAAAACCAAGGAAAAAAAAAGTCATGTAGCAAAAGCTTTTCCTCCCATGTGGCAGAAGTGCCTGTGGCAGTGCCAAGGCCAGCAGGCATGCTCTGGCCTCAGCACTTCCTCTGGAGAGCTCTGCATGGAAGTTCTATTGCAGGAAAAAAAAAAAAAGCCAAACAAAAAAAGAGCAAAGTAAAGATTGGAATGAATCCTTGTCTGCTCTCTAGCTTTCTCCTGTTCTCTTCAGCTGCTTCAGAGCACATCACACTTGGATGTTGGAAATATCTCCCTGTGCACCAGTGAAACACCTCCAGGGCAGCAGGGGCTGGTGTGGGGTGAGGGATGGGCTGGGGTGTGTGCTCAGGTGGTGGGGGGCTGGGGAGGGGGCTTGGAGCAGCTCCCTGGTCCAGAACCTCCAGGGCAGCTCAGGCAGAGCTGTGTGTGGTCACGGTTGCCCTCATGGCTTCCCCTAAGCATGGCAAACACTGGTGATGTGCAGAGGTGTTTAAATGATCTAATGTTTGGTAATTTACTTATTAATTTTGAAAGTGTTGTCATCAATCTGCTCATTGCTTTTTTTTAGGTAGCAAATGAGCAGAAATTACCCAGGAGGAGGATTCCACCTGCACAGCACATGTGTTTCTCTTTTCATGAATAACTTGAAAGGCTCTTCTTTTTAATTTTTTTGCCTTAGAAACATAAGGAGCAACTGAGTTTCCTGAAGAAAATGGATAATTTAGTGGCAGGGGGGAGGTGTAGTCCTGCTTCACAGCAGAACAGCGTGAGGTGCTGAGTGCTCACTGCAGAGCCTTTCTTAGAGTGTCTAGTGAAATAGGGATTGAATTTTTTTTGGTAAAAGCCGTTTAGACTTTTCATTTTTCTCAATGAGGATCCACTTTGCCACTTCATGTTGCAATGTTGGGTCTTGTTTGTATTCAGTTTGTTAGAAAATTGAACTGCTGTGGACTTCCAACATTATATTTGTTCAATATCTGCACAGGAAGTTCTGAATTATTAACATTTGGGTGGATTTTGTCCCTTAAACATCTTAGGAAATAACAAAGAACTTCTGAAATTTCCTGCTGGAAGTTCCCTTGAAGGCACTTGATACTCAAGTTGCCACTCTTCAGTCATGGTTGGACTGTAACATTTCTGTTCAGGCAGCCTGAAATGTTCTTCAATATGCAGAAGCCAAGCAGGACCTGATCAAATTTTCCTGTAATAAGGGATTTATTTCTTTTAAGGAAATATCCAATCTTTTACTTTAATGAACTGTAGGTTTTGATGAATATAAAATGGGACCTGAGGAATATTTTTTATTTGAGGTAATCCATTGAAAAGGGCAGAAGTATCATTTTTCAGTTTAAAAGGCTGTTTGTCCTGCCAATTTTCCATTTTATTACCAGGAGTTATGTGTAGCACACTGAAGTGCAGGCTTAGAGCCCTTAAACACCAGTGCAGCACTGAGCAGGGAGGAGGTAGTGCAGGGAGAAGGAAGTTTGGGATGCTGCTGCAGTGAGGACAAGGACAGGCTGAAGATGAGGTCCTGGTGGGGCAGTGGCTAAATCCCTCCTGAGCAGCAGCTGGAGGGAGTGAAGGAAGGACAAGACTTGAGCTAAAGCATCTGCAAAGCCAGAATAGTGGGTGCTTGGTGAAATGCCCATCCCAGGGAGTGTGGGAGAGGAAGGGCTGGGAGGAAGAGGTGCAGCAGGTGGGGAGGGAGATGCCCTCAGGGTTAGAGGGCTGTGAGACCAGCAGCCCAAGGAGAAGGAACAAGTTGCCCAACCATGCTGTAAGGGCTCAGTGAAATAACACAGGCTGTGGCTCCAGACTGTCCTTGTGCCAGAGGAGGGAGGTGGCTGCAGGGGTTGTGGCTTCCAAGGCCCTGGGGACTGCAGGAAGAATGTGTCTGTGCACAGCAGGTCCCTGCCTGGAGTGGGAGAAGGGGTGTGTGTGTGAGCAATGATCCTGGCCAAAGCTGTGTGAATAGAGAGCTTCCCTTTCTGTGAGGAGTGTCAGAAAGGAACTTGAAGTGGCAGCTCCACTTTCTGAGCCTATGTGGTTTTTCAGAGGATGGAGCTCTTGTCAAGGATCTCCTTTCCCTCAGGGAGTCCAGGCTGACAGAGATATCCTTTTTCAGAGGATGGAGCTCTTGTCAAGTATCTCCTTTCCCTCTGGGAGTCCAGGCTGACAGGGATATCTCCACATGAGCAACTATTTAAAAGCCCAGGGTTGGAGTTTGTGGTCTTTGATCTAGGAGCAGCACTGGTAAAGGAGATGACCTTCCAAGGACTTGCCCCTGATGGAGGTAGTCTTGATCCAAGATAACTCCTGAAGGGAAATCTGTGGCAAATGCAGCTCATATCAGGAGGCTGCAGTGTCCCTGATAGTGTCTGTAACTGGTGTGCACAGCCCTTGAGATGGTAATACAGGTACCCCCAGGTGCTCCTTCCTCTCCAAGCAGGATGGTATTTGCAAGCCCAAACATTCAGAGGTCATAGTGGAAAACCTTAAGGCTCAAGGAACACAAAATATACAATATAATGTAGTGCAGGGCTCAGTGGTTACCTTTTGAGACTTGCATACATCCATAGGATTTTCCTCTCAGGTTCTCCTCTCTGAGCTAACTTTAAATGAAAGTGGTGAAGGTAAAAGGAACAGCTGAAAGACTTCAATGTTTGTGGTGGACGTGGAGATGGTGTGAGACCACACTGGGGCCAGGAGCAAAGCTTCACCACCCAGAGAAACAACTGAAAGGACAAAGGGAGTGATAAACAGCAATGAGTGGGATACTCAGGATAACAAATCCTTCATAAACTGAACTTGTGTTCAAATGTAGGAGATGGAGAGAATAAGATTTGGCAGGTGAAATGTGGAAAAAGGCAAATAAAAAATCCCACCCAAAATAATGCGAAGAAAAACAGCATATGAAGAACATTCATGTCATAAAACTTAGATAGTTTTGGAAAAGTCAGGAGCAGGGGGACTGCAGGAGTCAGTAAATGTGATGCTCAGGGAAGGACTGACATGAGCATCAAAGTCTGAGCAGAAAAAAATCCAGGGAATTGTTTGCATAATGTGTTCCCTGTCAAGGAGCTGGAGGAGTTCACACAGGAATACTTCCATATGGAGAGCTCCACAGAGAATAGGTGCATTTAGGGAAGATTAAAGCTGAGCTGAAACGAGCAGTAACAAGTTGCTAGGACCAGACGGTGCCACCTATGGCTCTGAGGGAGCTCCAGGGTGGATAAGCTAAGGTCCCAGCTGGACCTGTCCCTGGGCACAGTGTCACAGCAGCTTCTGGAGGGAGCTTCAAACCACAACCATGTGCACTCAGCAGTTCAGAGATGCTGTGATGCTGCACCAAGGGCTGAATAATGAGGTGTCAGTGTGGGTTTGGACAGGGGACTTGTTCTTCAAAACTCTCCTGGGATTGCTCAGTGGTATCAACCGGTAGGGAAAAGGGGATTTAGTCTGCTTGAACTTCTAAAATGGATTTAATTATGACTTAAGGCAAACAAGATGATGGAAAAGGGAAATGTCATGTGGGCAAACAATTGTTTAAAAGGAAGAAGAGTTAAAGGGGTTTTTTTTTGGTGGAGAGAAGTAAACAGTTGGATGCCCTATCAACGTATTAAGAAATAATTGGGGAAAAAGCAACGAGTCAGGAAGATGACAACATCTACTGGTGAGGTTATTCAGTGTAATATTAATGTAATAAAGGCTGAGTGATTTGCAGAGGGATGTTATGAGACAGACTGGTAGATTAAATTACCAATAAAGTAATAAATGTAATAAAGTAATGTTATGGGGAAACACCAAAAGGAGAGGCCTTGGCTGTTTTCACCCAGCAAGGAGTTGTGAAACACAGTCCTGGAGGGATTTCTGCTTTGGGAACAGACTCAGAGAGAGGACAGGAGAACAGCCCAGCACCGTGGGGTGACTGCTGTGCCGCAGAGAGGAGCGGGGGAAGTGCAGGGCAGGAACAGCATCGCTGCGAGGGCCAGAACAGCCTCCGAGGGTAGAGTCAGCCGCGAATCTGCGGGAGAGGCGATGTGGAAGGTGGAGGATCCTCAGCATCCTCCCCACGCGAAGGGGCTCGGGGAGGATGCTGATACTGAGCTCCTTGTCCGCGTTCCGCGCAGCATCCCCGGGCGGAGGCAGGGGAGAGAGGGAGCCCATCCCCGGGAGGGAAGGAGCCCATCCCCGGGCGGAGGCAGGGGAGAGA